CAAGTATCTTTATCCAATAATCTCAACTCTCAAAATTGGTTGCCAGTTCGACCAAATTCGAGAAACACCCATTGATATAAACAATGACCACGGGTTGAGGTTTCGTCTAAACTTCAAAAATTAACAATTTATACATATTGTATACTTTAGTGCTAATTCCACTAGGAAGCTCAAACTATCCAAAAAGTGTCATTTGTGTCTTAAACTATTCAATATGACAAATCTGGCACAAACTATACGAGTTTTGTGACATTTATGTCCTAAACTATTCAATTATGACAAATGGCACACACCACATAGAAGCTTACTAGATTAAAGAATAACATTCAAAATTAGCCCTATAATATATGAATTTAACTTCATAAGAAAATAACATCCAAAATGGAAATGAATCGAGATTAAAGAATTTAATCATCACGAGGGCTATGGTGATCCAAAAATGAAGTATTTTTACTAAGAATTCCCCACTAAAAAGTCCTAATCTTTACAACATTGGTTGAGAGTTCGTCCAAACTTGAAGATCATGTGTATTGTATTTCCAAATGGCCTAAAATCCAAATTCCTTTCGGGGGCTAAATAACTCTGATCACAACCATAAGTGCCAAAGAAGAATGAAAAGAAGCCCAAAAAAAATAATATAACCTCAGATACGATGAAAACCATAGAGTCATGTATGCTCAACCATCTCCCTCGCAACAACACGTCTAAAATCATAGCATTATAATTTAATAATTGATAGATAGTCAACCGCCTAGTACGACTCTACCAAGTGATGAAACACAATATTATACTACACATCTATATCTAATTATCTACACATTTACACAATATTATACTTTTGGACTTTGCTACGGTGACATGCACTTTTCGGTCGACCTCATATAGGATTAGGTCGACCTAATCTGTTGTTTGTTGTTTCAGTGTAAAAATAATTTCATGGTGCCTACTTTGGAGATTCATATCTTACAATTGGCTAGATGGATATTGGAGATCAATGGCTTGTTTTGAAGCTGAAGTGTCCCTCTACACATTAAGGTACTTGGGAGCTCAATAAGAAGTCCAGAACACCATTTTTGAACCTGATCAAAAGGCTATGCCAAAACTTGGAAAGTGCCTGAAAATGGCTAAGTCTTGGAACGTGTTTGTGAAGCATACTTTGGAACTCAACTCGAGAAGCATGGATGCGAATCGAGTCTAGGGGCCTCTACCACGTTAAATTATGTATGCTTTTATACGAAGTCAAGGCATTGGATGAAATATTTGATATCAGTAAGGCTTCAAACAAAAGGGTCGAATTTGCTACGAAGGCTGTTTTTCTGGCAGCTTGCTTGTGCTCGAAGTCTGGCAGAAAAACAGTCTTTGTAGCAACTTCGACCCTTTTGTTTGAAGCCTTACAGATATCCAATCTTTGATCCAATGACTTGACTTTGTATAAAAATATACCTAATTTAATGTGGTGGAGGCCCCTGGACTCGACTCGCATCCATGCTTCTCGAATTGAGCTCCAAAGTAGGCTTCACAAACAAGTTCCCAGACTTAGCCATTTTCAGCTTGTTTTTCAGTTTTGGCATAGCCTTTTGATCAAGTTCAAAAATGGTCTTCTGAACTTCCTATCGAGCTCCCAAGCACTTGAATGTGTAGAGGGACACTCCAGCTTCAAAACAAACCATTAATCTCCATCGAGCCAATTGTAATAATGAATCTCCAAAGTAGGCACCATGAAATTGTTTTTACACTGAAACAACCGATTAGGTCGACCTAATCTTATATGAGGTCGACCTAATCCTAACTGAGATCGACCGAAAAGTGCAAGTCACTGTGACATGCATGTCATAGTAGGCACATCCTATACTTTTTTGTTTATAAAACACAATATTATACTTAGATAGTCACTAATCACACACAAACTATTTATTGACTAACCTATTTAATCTACACATTTAATCAAATTTATACTTAAATATAATCATTCACTAATTTATATAATAAAACTACTCATTAAATAGCAATTATAATGGAAAAGACTCCCCTAGCCTTCTGTGAGATGATTAGGCCTCCTATATATATTTTAACCAATAATTGAGAAACCATATCATATCGCCAGGTCAGATCGGGAATATTGAATATCAAATCCAAAATCACTGAAGTTTTCAGTGATAGAAAATGGTTGAACCCAATTAAACCATGATCAACCAATATCGTCATATAATACAAATAAAATTATTTCGGACATGTCAATGAAGAGGGTTACGCGCGGTAGAAGTATAAAAGAAACCAAAAAAGCCGTGCGTGTTAAGGGCGGTCGTTGAGTGAAGACGGCCGGGAGAAGAAGAAGAAGTAGCAGCGAGCGTATGCAGCATTATCAAAAGTTTAGCTCGGCGTAACAGCGAACCGTGGGATCTAGCGGTGCAACTAAATATCCTGAATGCTTTCTCCGTCTCTTTATGTACACTCACTGACAAGTTTGCAGGGAAAACTATTAGGGTTTCCGCGCAGATCGAAGAAGAAAAGAGAAGACCCATGTCGATCGTCAAAGCCTCACTAGTTTGGTCGCTGTTGGTGCTACTTTCACTGGCCTTTTTCTCGATCCAGCCATGTGCCGCGAAACGAGTTGTGAGGTTCTTACCTGCTCGGGAGCGAAGGCCTCATCGCCACTATCAATTCCAGCCAAGGGTACTTGTGCAGCAGCAGAGTTACCTCCTCAACAAGGACTCGGAAAAGCCTCGAACCGACTCAGCGGCAGCAGCAACAGCAGCAGCGGGTCATGTCTATGAGCGACACACACAGTCTTGTGGAGCTGATCATGACGGAATCGTGGATTCAGTGTGCGCGTTGTCTCTTGCATTCTGCATTACGTGTATAATTGTTTCCATCTTTTTTATCCATGTTTTTTTTCTTGTTTGGCCCTGCTTAATTGCTGACTCTTGGTGGTTCAAGAATGGTAGCTCGAATCGACAAATTGAATTATAAAAAAGTTGAGTTGCTTCTTGCTTGGATTGGAATGCTGGGTATAATCCGCCAGCTTGCAGTTGAAACATTTAGGTATGAAGGTCTAGGTCTTCTAGGTTTTGCAACTCCAAGGACACATGGTAATTGAGACTTCATTGTTTTTAAAATCTATTCATTCTCGCTAAGGTTTGTTTGTATAGAGACTCTAAAGTAAACCTCTAATACAAAGCGACTCTTCATTTCTTTCTAATAATCATACTGGAATCTCTCTAAACTTTCTTTCTCTGCATATACTGTTAAGTGTCATAGTACAAAAGAGAGGGTCATCCCCACCTCTTCATATAATCTTCTCAAAAAAAAAATTGCAAGCAAGATTCAAAACCTATGACCATCCTCCACTTTACAGTTGGTTGAAGCAAGATTGATGGACCTAGCACATAATGGGCTGTATTCAGTGGGAAGACAATATTATGGGGAGAAAGGTTGAAACATGTTCAGTTGCCTCATAACATAAGGCTTAGTCCAGCTTTTTATTCATTTATGGAAAATCAGGCCAAAAGGAAAGTACAAAATAGCATAATCAGAAGTGGGATTTGACAAGGAATAAGATTCTAGAATGATGTGTTGCCACAAGTAGGGATGTCAATCCAACCCGTAACCATGGGTACCCTACCCGATCGTAACCGGTCAACGAGGGTAATTATCCGCTTTGACGGGTTAAGGGGCGGGTACGGACAATACCTGGTTTCAAAATAAAGGGTAGGGTACGGGTATGGTAATCGATAATACCCGCCCCGTTATACCCGCCCCGCTAACCAAAGGGTCAATTTCCCTTGAGAAATTTATTTTAGCTTGAGAAATTGAGTTTAGCTACCATTATTGATGATGAAGATGTAGACGATTATTATGTTTGTGTGGATTGCAGAAGCAAGAACAATTATTATGTGTTTGCTGTTTTTATTTGTGTGGATTGTTGAAGCTAGAACAGTTACAAGTATTGAGAATTTTTAATGGACAACAGTATGTATGTGCATATATGTGTATAAGTTCATAGTTTAGGATTCGTACCCATGGTTACCCTAATACCCGTGGTTACCCGGAGGGTAGGGTATGGTTATATAATTTTCATACCCGGTGGTTATTTGGTCGGGTATTTTAAAAAGCTCTACCCGACGGGTTAGGAGTTGGTATAGGGTAAACCCGCACCCGACCCTACCCATTGCCATTCCTAGCCATAAGGATCCGATTCCCACGGCGGTCACTGGTTCCATACTTTCACTGCTTCTTCTCGTGGTATTCTGAAAAAATTACCATCCAAGTTAAACTCGTTAAGCACTTGACATTGCATCCACGATCAGAATCTGATGGTATGATGTAGAAAAGGGCTCTTGTTGTTGGTTGATTCTCGCAGTAAAAGGTATGCAATGATTTACATCAGCATGACAGCATCAGTATACAGCCCCATCTCAAGTCAAATCAATTGAAACTTACTCCGATTGTTCAGGATACCAAACAAGAAAAGAACCATATAGCATTATCACTTTATCAGATGATTACACACATCAGCATGGAGACATAGTTGTCCTAGCAACTCCACGCAATGATCTTGTAACTAACTGCCATTTGCTACAATATGAGCTGCTCAGTGATCCTCAGGAGTCCAGATCTATAGTTTGGATGACGAAGTTTCACTCCCAGTTCGCTCTTCATACGATCATTGGATACCCGTTTCTCGCCTCTCGAACTCCTCTTACCAACGACACATGGCTTCTCTTCCTTGGGAGTCGTAGGTCCTCGCTCGACAAGACCAGGACATTTCTTTTCGATCAGGTCCTCTACATATGCAAACACCTCTTGTCGTGGAGCCGGGTCATCATCCACAACATTGTAGATTCTCCTGTTGAAGTAAGAAAGAGATAATATGGAGACTTCACTTGTAACTCATAACAGAAGGATAGACGATCAGGAGGGAATCCATACCTAAGGGATGGCATCTCCATGGTAGCATGGAGGGCCTGACAGATATCCTCTACATGAACTCTGGATGTATACTACTTCGACGATCTCATTTTCTGGTGTGAAGTCAAGGGTTGCCGCTTGATTAGTGTGTCAATGGCACTGTGAATAAACAGGCACCATTTCTAGTTCAATATTGACAAAAACCAACAAAAGAGGAACAAACATGTACTAGGATGGGGAAGCTGCAGCAACCTTCTGCAAGGGCCATAGATGCCCCCAAGTCGAAGCACTTGCGTTGATAACCCTAGTGAATGGCCGAACCTTAACCATTCATTCTCAGCGAGTAACCTTGATTTTGATGGCTCGATTGAAGGGCTTGCTGGGTAGCTGTCACAGTAAGGCTTGTGTGTAACTAATTCCAGTTTATGCAAATATAGTTCAAATACTACAAAGTCGGATTACTTCCTTACTCCTCATCAACCCAAGCACCTGAGCAATCACCATAAACTCCTGCCAGGCAATCCAAACGCCATCATGACAAAACTGAGCGTTGATTTGGTAGCCGATACAAGAGTGTCGTAAACTAAGTTACAGGGATATGCCAGGAGTACATACTAGTCAAAGACAAGTAACAGAGCCATTGAAGACTTCCATCCACCAAAGCACATCTTAGAAGCTCTTCATGCTTCAACAACTGGAAGAATCGATAGACACCAATGCAGCAGGACGTGAGCAAAAGAACAGGACTGCATATGAACAATAACCATCTCAAACCAATGGGAAATCGGAGCTTGACCAAAAGTTCAATTTCGCTCATGTACCGGATCCCCGACACCGGGAATTGGAGGGATGGAAACAAGAAGGTGGGTACAGCTATTAACAGAACTCATTGATAACCAAAATCAGAAACACTTCTTGCAGTGTAAATTAGACAATCTTTACAAACTGCTGGGAGTTCATGAGTTCTTAGAATAACTCACTCATGCTCATTGGCATCAAAGATAAAAGCATCAAACCCCTTCTCCTCGAGCTCCTTTTTTTTCCTCGAGCTCGTGCAAGTCTCCTTCACAACCCCAAACGACTTTATCGTCATCTTTCTCGATATCTATTTGAATCAGCTGTAGAATGGAGCTAAGCTCAGCTAAAAGGGGAGTTGGAAGCCTTACCAGCCTTCGTTTTTTAGCTGCTGGCCGAAGAATTGCCCCACGTATCCCATTCCCAGCATGAACATCCGAATCTTGATCGAATTAACTGTCGGCGAAGGTGAAAGAGAAGCTATGGCGGCAGGAAATGTTCGAATAAGGCGGGAGATATGGCTCGTTCCGGTGAAGAACTGAGCGGGTGGTCGGCATATCTCCATTCCCTGTCCTGAATGGCAGGTCTCTCTGGGTCGCCGGAGAAACTTGGCTGGAAAATGTCAACGATGAATGAAATTCTTTCCTTTCTACTTTTCCGTTCACTTGTAACTTGTAACTGCTGCCTAAATGGGCTTGACGGTTCTCTATTCAGAACTTGTATATTGGGCCTAGCCCAATCAGGTAGCTCCCCCGTTGCGCATTTACCGGTTATTTTGAGAAAGATTTGACTACTTGGTAATTACAATACTTGAAGCCAAACACCAAAGTAGGGATGGCTGCCTAAACCATCCTCATTCTCATTTCCAAATATTCCTACCTATACCCGCCCTATACCCATACGGGTGGAGAATTTGCATACTCATTCCCATACCCGCGGGTTTCGGATACCTATGGGTAATATCCATCCCCATGTATGCATTACTTCTACCCCTAATAATCAACATACATTCTTCAATTATAACACTAAAACAACCAAAATATTTGATGAAACCAACAAAGTACAATCATTCTTAATACGAAGAAAAAAACATTCAATCCTTTGTTTAATTGTTTCTAAAAGATCAAAATCTACTAGATTACTTAAAACACACAAAGTCACATTGCGTTGCCTCTTCCAAAAGCATTAAATAACATCTCTTCTTCATTTCTCCATACCTACAAACACAAAATAAAAACATCAAACATCAAGACAAATTTGGACATCATTCATCATCAGATTCGGCATCTGAATCAACTGCAAGACCTACAACAAAGATAAAAATAGATTTAGATACAGTTAAAGTCACATTATGTAAATAGGCAATACACATCTTGAAACATTACCAGCTAAGGCTCCAATCAAAGCCGGATCCTCATCTTCATTAACAGTAGTCAAACTGTCCGAAGGTAGTTCAGAAAGATCCTCTACAAAATAGAAAACATTTATTGAAATGAATGAAAACAATAGTAACGAAATTAAGAGACCTTTTAATAAGTAGTATGATATTACCTTTCTCATCAATATGGTTCAATAGTAACGATATTAAGATCCTCTACTCTAGGGCTGGTAATCGGGTATCCGGTTAACGGCTTAACCGATTATCGAACCGTTAACCGGCGGTATCTGTATAAGGTGGCCAAAATCCAGCTGCCGGTATACCGACACATGCTCGGTTAAAATCCGACGGTTATCGGTAATACCGTGTAATCGATATACCCTCCCCAAATCCCAACCTTCTCCTTCTATCACCCCGTTAGTAACCCCCAAACCCCAATTCTCTCATCTCCCCCAGGAAGAAGTTCCCTCTCTGAATCCCTAATCTATTAATTCGATCCTTCCCTACTTTGCTGACTCTGCCCCGCGAGCAGATCGACCACCACCGGTTCTCCGTCTTCTCTTCTCCCTCCGACCAGACCAAACACCACCCAGATCTTCCACCATCAGTCCGTCTCCGTCTTCTCCTCCTCCCTCCCTACTTGCAGCAACTGTCACCATCATCGGCGCCTTACCACCCCTGCCTCCACCAGAGTTACCATTCCTCCTCCTCTTCCACCGCCAGAAACCGCGAAATTGAGAGAAGCCCAGCTGGCGAATTCCATCTCCAGAACCAGAAGATCCCAAATCCTTAAACACGGGCGAGCGATTAGAGTTCATGGAAGCGGAATAAGAACATGCAGCGAGTCCACAGCCCTCCCCTGCCTCTCTCTCGATCTCCATAAAACCACAATCCTCTCTGTTCTCTAATCAATACCCAATAATGACCCGCCGTGACCCGCCGTCGAAAGACAATCGGCCAGATTGAAGGCCACCTGGATCTACAAAAACCCCAAAAAATCCCTAATCTGGCGGCTGCTACGGCTAGTGGTCTGAGCGGCGAAGAGAAAACTTGTGTGATGCCTGCATGCGGCGGTGGCGGTAGGGATGGGGAGAGGAGATCGAGAAAGAGCGGAGGGCTGGGAGAGGAGGGTTGGGGAGAGGGGAGAGAGAGAGAGAGGACGGTTCGGGAGAATGAAAATAGAGAGGTGGCAGAGATGGTAGTCGGTACTCGGTCTAACCGGTTGGTAACTGGTAACCGGTTAACCGGTTACAAACCGGTATCGGTATTTGGCCTCGTCCTCATGGTAAACGGTATACCGTACCGGGTCATCGATAACCGTTAACCGATAACCTACCGATTACCACCCCTAGACTCTACCCAAAGTTCTTACCTTGTTGATGTTGCCCTGCCGCCGCCGATTTTCGGGAAGTCAGATGCCTCGTCGGTCGACTGCGAAAGAGGGAATAGGGATTTTCTTTGGCGATTGTTGCGAGACGACGGGGAGCGGTGGACTAGTGGTGGTCTTGTGGTGTGGTGGCGGAGGATTAGCAGCGCAGGACATGTTGCCCTGTCGCCGCCAATTTTCGGGAAGTCAGATGCCTCGCCGGTCGACTGCGAAGAAGGGAACATGGATTTTCTTCGGCGACTGCTGCGAGACGACGGGGGAGCGGTGGACTGGTGGTGGTCTTGTGGAGTGATGGCGGTGGATTAGCAGTGCAGGACTGGTGTTGGTCTCGCGATTCGATTTGCCAAGGAAGAAGAAAGCTGCTCCAGGAGAAGGCATCGATTGCGGGAGTCGACTAGCAGCAGATGGAGATTGGAGACAGGGAGAATGGAATGGCTGCGATGATGCAGGTTTCATCAGGGTTTTCATAACTCAAATTACATTTTAGCCATCTATGTTTATTTTTCTTACCCTTCATTTCATTAACAATTTATAAATAGGTACTTGTATTTTTTGCATATAACAAATAAGCTTGATTGGGGGGAACCTAAAACCAAACTCGCCCCATACCCATCAGATTCTTTGAGAGTTTTACCCATACCCGCTCCATACCTAGTCAAAGCGGGAATTCCCCGCGTTGATTGGATCGGAGGCGGTCAGGTACCCACGTCGGTGGGTATGATTGCCATCCCTACCAAAGATTGCAAAACAGCACACATTCTCAGTGTCACTGTCAGTCTCATAACTTGAATTATTTGCCCAGAGATCGAACGTATATTGCAAAACCGCACATTCACAAAATATACTCTCGAAACTAGTTTAACCTGTCATAAGTATAAGATCTTGCCCTTTTTCAGAAACCGGTTCAAGAGGGTTAAAGCTGCTTAAATTTAAACTAGTAAACGAAGCTGCAATTTAGCAATAGAAGGACTCTGTGATGAAAGGCCTAAAGATGAAATGATTGCTGAAAAGGAACTGGCTGCCATGATTCACTCGCAGTAAAGATAATGCAAGGTCCAGCCCCATCATGAACTATAAAAACAAAAGGCCCCTAGGCAATCAGGAAGGCAGGGTAAGTATTGTTCAGATTTAACACTAATCTAACCCTCTCCCACCTTCCCTCTCATCACCAAGAAACTCGGAGGAGGGAACGCAGTAATAGCCGGAAGACCAGCTGCTGCTGATGCATCATGGCTTACGACGGGTCTCGGGTGGGCTCAAAATCAGCGTGTTTTCTCTGCCAAACAAGGAAAAGGGAAATCAGTACTTGCATTACTTTTATCAGGTGGAGTGATTTCTCATGTGTTAAATCAAGTGAACAAACTATGTACCTGTAAAGCAGCACAAAGCATGTCATCAACATTTCTGATGTCGTGGCCAAAACCCTTTTTTAGTGCCTGAGTCGTTCCGGGAGGCAGGTTTGCTCCATTTCGACCCAAAAGAAAAGTGCCGCCTCAAGAAAGACACTTTAGATGAACTTGTTGCACCGGAAAGGGATTCTTGTCCACAAAGACTATCGGAATCACTGTCCAGATGACTATCCACAATCCTGTTCCTCGATATCTTGTGGCTCTTTGCCTTCCGTATTGAAGAAAACTTTCGACGAGCTTTAGCCGCTGCTTTCCCAACCTGCTTCTCTCCTGCTGACATGCACACTGGGCAAAAGGGATCATACTTATCGACCTCCGACGTTGCAGCCTCCAGGCACTCAGCGTGATACACGTGGCCACAGTCCAAGACAGCCACCACCTGGCTCTTCCATGGTTGTAAATCTGTCAACCGCTTTAGACATGAGCTGCAAACGTGTGGGCCCAGGGAAGGAGAACATGAGAACCTGCTGCTGGACCCGCTCATTTTGTCATCCAAGTGGTCCCCATCAAAAGACCAACGTCCCCTCTGAGAAGAGGCGACAAGCTCAGAGAAGGTGCGCATGGACCAACCATCCGACCCACTTGAACCAATTGCCAAATCATGGCTGTTTATGGAGAGGACGAATGATGGCCTGCCTTCGGATAAGGAATGATTGTTTGGTGACTTTAAACCAAGAATTCTGCTGTCGGAAATCTGTCTCAGCAGCCTTCGTCCAGGGGAGCGACGAGCACGCCTTGAGGGGGTTGAGTTGGGAGGAAGCGGGTGGAGCCAAGGAGTGGAAGGATCGAGAGGAGTTGAATATGATGAGTTGATACAGTATGGAATCTTTGGGCCGGACGATGACTCTGGGATTTCAGGCGAGTTTACAAGATTTTGAAGCTGCAGTGCAAAACAGAAGAATAACAAACACAATGAACAGGAGTTCAAAGCACAAGAGTATTATTTTTAGTTGAGTCGAACTCACCTCGGCGAGGTAGCTGCTTCCAATTGATTTATCTGCACCAAGAAGAACAAAATAAATTGATCAAAAAGGTCAATCAACTCAAGTCCTTGCGGCAGAGGTTTATGAATGCATTAACTAGGCGATGCATGGCAAGATGCAATAAGGCTTTTACCCAATATGTTGCTGATAGCACGTACTTTTCAAAGTATCAGAAATACTTCTATTAGAAAACAGTATCCTTAGAGGAGCATTCACCTAAACACTCCTGTAAATAGTCAAGAGGAACTAATAGGAGCTTGCACCTTTCTAATACTCTCAATTCACATTATTCACAATATATAATGATGCATCAATTAAACAGTTTGTAAATGGAATGACATCCACAAACCTTGGTGGAAAAAAATGAAAACTTTCAGACAATGTGCTGCGGCGGTACTTCAAACCAAGATCTAGTAGCCCTACATTATGTGCAGAAAAGGGAAATTTACTTGATGAATTAGTCGCCTCATTTCGAGCAATTTCTTCGTGGACTGGTGACCTAAGGGAGATCGGTGTTCCAAAGCTCTCGGGCAGGCTCCCACCGTGAGAGTGATTCCTTCTATCAGAACCTAACCCGAACCTTATCTCCTCACCATATCCTCTGCCAGGTCTAAGAGGGATGTCATGAGATGACTCTTCTGTTTCACTTTCACCAGTCACACGCCTCCGGTTTTCCCACTGCAAGTTCAGTGCTCGGGAGCATCGGGTATCAGTAAGTGGGGTATCATATTCACTTCCAGTGGGCAGCTGTTTAGGTTTCAAAGGAGTACAGCAAGCCAATCCCATGATTTGTCGGTGTATCTAAACCAGCACAAAAGTACACATCCAGTAGAACTACCTTGTAGAGAAGAGACACTCTGTCAAAACGGCCAGACCAAACACAGTGCACAATCAGAAAACAGCAGAAAGACCATCTCACGTTGCAATCCTATGAATAATCAAACAACAAAGTCTCCAAGTAACAAAGCCACACATCAATAACCGCATCTGTGAAAACATTCGATCACAGTTTGGCTAACAACTCTATCCCCAAAATGCATGAGCATATAATATCTCATATCAATGTCCATCATAGAATTCGCGGCAGTAATACAACTTAAGCGACTTCCAAGAGCAGCAAGACAAAATAAAATCCATTATCAACCAAGTAAATTGAAGATCCCATTACCCTAGCAACCTTTTTTCATCCAGACAATCAACCTCATCCTCTAAAGATAACATTAGCAACAAATAAAACCGCATTCATAATGTATAAGTGAGAAACCATTAATGGGCGAATTGAACAAATTAAACATGGGCTACACGACTACAGCAGCAAACTGGAAATACGTGAGGCTGGCTTTCAGAGAAAGCAAAAATGGAATCGATAGAACTTTCGGTTGATTCCCCGTCCAACAAACAGACCTACAGTTCCCCGCCATATCTCATGCGATCCAATTCAATAAATAAAAAACTCCCAAAGAGCAAAAAATTTGCTCTATATCTGAAAATCCGTATTAGGACAAAATCACTGAGACACCACAATCCTCCATTAACGGAAGACGAAATTGGAAAAGAAGCATCGAGTCTCGAAGCTTGGAATCCAGACCGACAACAGAGCCTAGGGTTCGCGATCTCTCAATTAATCAGCAAAGAAATGTAAATAGGTAAAACCAAAAAACGGAGCTGGGGGAACAAATTGGCCAGAAATGGAAACCGTAAATAGGACAACCTAGGTCTCACCTTCTCAGTGAAGAAGGCAAAACGACATCGCCGGAGCCGTAACTGTATCGACGCAGAAGGCTCGGTTTGGTACTCGTCTTCGCCGGCGGGAGCTGGTACGGCGGCGGGGTAACAGAGAGTATTTGGTGCGCTGTGGAACGTGTGGGCGAGAGAGAGCGGAAATGGAAACAAACAGTGACGACATGAGAGGGAATTGGAGATATATACGCTACGCGCGGATAACGGCGTTAAAATGGCCAAGGACGTGCGTGAGAGGCGGAGAAGGAGGATCGCAGTAACGGCGTCACAACTTACGGGCAAAAAGTGGAAGGGGGAAAAGGAAAAGAAAGAAGACGGAAAGGTTTGTTTAGCGTGACTGAATAACAGTGTTGAAAAAAGTCTACATGGGGACTTGTGCCCCGTCTGGTTTTCGCTCTCTTTCCACCTATTTTTTCTTTTAAAATTTTGCTTTTTTTCCCCTCTGCCCAGCACAAATTCTAACCTTTCTCAATTTAGCTAAATTGATCTCCTAATTTAATACCCGCTTAGCTTAATTATGATCTCCTCCTAATTTTTTCCAAATTAATATGAATTATCAGTTTATTGATTTGGAGATTAACATTTTTGTCAACGCTTCAGCTCTCCTTATGAGGATTTGATTGCGGCGATGAGCTAATTAAGAGTGCGCGACGGCGGATTGGGGGTAACGACGGAGGGGGATGTGACTGAATCCGACTGATTCGCCTGTGGGGATACTGAGTTGGACCTCGCGGAGAAGATTCTGGAGAAGGCAACGTTGGAGTTTCGATCGATGGCTTCGTTCTTCCCCAGTTAGCAGACAGATTTTGTGCTGGAATGGGAGTTGCCAGACGGACGATGAAGAGTCTCGACTCTCGGCGTCCGCATTCAGGGAAGTTTATTGGAGAAGTCCGGCTGCCTCGGGAGGGAAGCCGGGGACGGAGAACGGGAGAAGGCAGAACGGAAGGGGAAACGCTGAACCCACGGCAGAAACGTGAAACGACACGAAACCAGAAAATAGAAAATGAAAAGTGGAAGACGAAACGTTTCGCATTCACAAATTGAAAACGAGGCGCGATAAGTTGTCAATAACGATCAAATAAGGAGATATCTTGATTCTTGGGCAAGTTTAAATATCGTGATACAGGGCCGGACAAGAGGGTGTGCTGGTCCGCTCTTCGACACAGGGCCTCAAATTATTAGGAGCCTCTATTTAGATTTGTTAGTTATGGATAGTATATTGTAGGTTATGTTTTTAGTGTATGATTGATTATGAGTATGATGATGTGTTTAACAGATAATTTTAGCGATAATAACAATTGAAAAGGATCTCAAGGAGAATACGAAAATTTGAAAAATAATAGATAATTTTAATTTAAACAATATAGAAAGATATTACATTTTGAATAATGTTATTATAATCATTTTAGTTTTATTATAGTTAAAGGTCGATTTGGACAACGTCTAGATTTTGAAATAGGGCTTCCACGATCTAGTAGACAACCCTGCACCCACCTCTCGATCAATTTAGACTATTTTCATTTATCCATTCAATTTTTGCACTATATCCATTCTCTTCCTTCCATATTTACTTTCCTCCCTACTAGGGTTGGGAATTCGGTCTTTGTTTCTTGGTCAAACTGGAAACGAGATCGTTTATTCTTGATGCAATCTTTTTCTGAACTTAAGTATTTTTTTTACAATTATTATCTAATTTTTAATTTTGATAAATTTATGGGGAAAAAAATTAGGGCCACATTCTAAATTTTCGAACAGGGCCTCCAAATATCATGGGACGGCCCTGTCGTGATACGTTATAGTATTTCAGTGATAAACTCAAACAATGGCAGAAAAACTTGCATCACGGTTTGGAAACTTGTGTTGGTTTGATGATAGCACAGGTACAATGTGGGATGATTATATGCGGATAAGAGTAAACCTTTCCATCAACAACCCTCTAAAAAAGAAACTGAAACTCAACTTTGGTGGGGAACTAGTGGAATTAGTGATGGCAATGGGGCGGGGCAGGTACCTCAATTCTCATGCCTGCCCCACGCTACTACGGGTCGAGGCGGGTCGACCCACTCTTACATGTTGTTCAAAAAAAATACAAGTAAATTTTACTTTTTACAATAAAACGTAGAGAAAAATATTTTAAGAATGAAAATAATAGATAATAGAATGGATAATTGAGCCTAACAAGTTGAAAGATCGACTCTAACTAGTTGAAGAGAAGTCAAAATAGGAGAAATATGTATAGATATTGTAAGAAATTGAGATAAAATGAGTCTAGAACGGGGCGGGTCGGAAGTAGATACCCATGCCCCGACCCACGCTACTGCGGGTCGGGTAATACCCTCCCCATCGCAGGTCAGGTCGGGTAATACCCGCGAGGCGGGTTGAAATTGCCATCACTATGGAATATATGGTTAAATATGAGAAGTTGCTATTATTTTGCCATTCTTGTGGCAGAATTGGTCATCCTAAACTCAGATGCCCACGACCGTCGAACCTTGAGGTGGATCCATTTGGGTTAGAGATGCGAACAGGGGCGCCAGGACCAAGGAACTGGCTGTCTCATATAGCTAAGAAGGAGGATGTCAAAATTTGGGCTATCCTGAAGAAGAAGTTTGAGATGGATTGCACAGTTTCTAATTTTGAGAATGGAACCCCTCTAGTAAGAGAGGAGGTTGAAGGAACCAGTAAGGAGGAAGCTCTGGGAGGAGAGAGGAATGCAAGGGAGATGGAGCAGCCAGCTGCTATCTCGATGAAGGATAACAGTAGGAACAAACCACAGAAGCCTCTCGAGGACAATGTACCTACTACAAAGGGACAAGGAAAGGGATTAAATCGGGAGAAAGAAGTGGCAGTGGTGGGAGCCTTACAAAAATTCAAGATGGATAATGGGGTGGGTCTTATAACAAGGCGGCACACGAGGAATGTATGGTGTAGGCAAGAACAGAAAAAAGAGAGAACTCAACAAGAAACTCAACTCACTCCACAGAAGAGGAATGTGGACACACAGGGAGGTGAAATGCACATAGACTTTGAAGTTCCAAAACATCCGAAGAAAGCAAAAGTTTTGGATTTTCAGGTGGGTCAGGAAAAGGATCAGCAGGGGAGACAAAATAATTTGGATGGCGATTTGGCGGACTCTGTCATAGAACAGAGCCGCCCAGCCCAATGAATATACTCAACTATAATTGTCGAGGGTTGGGGAATCCCTCGACAATTAAGAAAGTTAGGTCTTTGTTACAAAGACAAAATCCACAAATAGCTTTCTTGATGGAAACAAAAAAAAAAGTCTCACGAGTGGAGGGAAACAATGAGGAGTTTGGGTTGGAAGGATGGTTTTGGTGTCGGTTCGGTAGGAAGAGCAGGGGGCCTAATGGTCCTGTAGCAACCAGAAATCAAGGTGGAGATTAAGGGATACTCAAATAATCACATTGACAAAAAAATCTGTGATGAGGGCAAGGAATGGAGGTTAACTGGGGTTTATGGATGGCCAGAACAAGGTAATAAACCCCGCATGTGGAATTTAATAAGACAATAAGTGACCTAACAGATTTGCCCTGGCTGGTTACAGGGGATTTCAATTTGGTTCAGTGTTATGCTGAGAAGAATGGGAAATATGAAGCTAATGAACATGAGATGGAGTGCTTTAAAAAGGCATTGGAGGACTGTAACCTGGAAGACCAAGGATTCTAGGGCGACGGTTACTTGGGATAACAATCACAAGGATGATACTTTCCTGGAAGAGAGATTGGACAGAATGGTGGCTACAAACCCTTGGGTGGCTTTGTACCCTCAGGCTAGAGTGTACCACATTAATAGGTGTGGTTCAGACCACAATCCTTTGCTATTACATACACAATTGGGAGAACTAGAAGTCCGGTGGGGAAGCTCCTTTAGGTATGAAGCTTATTGGCAACAACATCACGACATTAAAGGGGTTGTGGAGGAGGGATGGAAGAGGAATGGGAATGGATCAGTTTTGGACAAAATACGATAGTGTGAGGAAAAGCTGAAGCACTGGAGCAAGGTAACATTTTGAAGCCTTAAATATAGAAGGAAAGAGATCGAGAGGGTACTGGGGAGAATTAGTAAACTTCAAATGAATCAGGCCCTTATTCAGCAGCGGGATGCTTTAGAAAAGGAACTTGACATGATTTTTGAAATCGAGGAGATGAAGTGGAAACAGAGGTCTAGAGGTGAGTGGCTTAAGGAGGGAGACAAGAACACTAAATACTTCCACCGCCGTGCTTCAGAAAGAAGAGAAAGGAATACTATAAAAAAACTTAGAGACACGACTGGGGAATTATTTGAAGGACATGATAGAGTGGCAGCATGTTTGGTTGCTTATTACAAGCAGCTATACTTGGCAGGCCCCCCAAGGCAGGGGAGTCAGATTATTGACTCGTTTCCTAGGAAGGTAACAGATGAAATGAATGAGGAATTGATGAAACCTTTTACGAGAGAGGAGATTTGGGCAACTTTGAAACAGATGGGTCCCTTAAAGGCACCAGGTGTGGATGGAATGCCTGCTCTATTCATTCAAAAAAACTGGGATATAATTGGGGATGATAATACTAGAGAACTACAAGGTTATTTGGAATGGGGGAATTTCCCAGAGGAGCTCAATCAGACCTTGATTACATTAATCCCTAAGAAGAAAGCCCCTGGAAGCCCCACTAACTTCCGTCCTATAAGTCTGTGCAGAGTTCTTTATAAGATTCTATCTAAAGTTTTGGCCAAAAGGTTGAAGGGAATTCTTCCCGAGATCATTGTGGCTAATCAAAGTGCCTTTGTACCAGGGAGATTAATCACAAATAACATTATTGTGGCATTTGAGTGTTTTCACACAATGCAACAGAAGAAAAAAAGGGAAGAGTGGGTGGATGGCAGCAAAACTGGATATTACTAAGGCTAATGATCGAGTGGATTGGAGTTTCTTGGAGGCTACCATGATAAAGTTGGGGTTTAATGATCGTTGGGTTCATTTGATTATGGAGTGTGTGTATACAGTATCTTTTAGCCTGCTAGTAAATGGGCACCAGACCGAATGGTTTAAACCAACAAGGGGATTGAGACAAGGGGATCCTATATCCCCATATCTCTTTCTCCTAGTGGCAGAAGGGCTGTCAGGGTTGATTTCTTTGGCAGAAAGGGGGAAGAAGATAACATGTACTAAAGTTAAGCGTGGAGCACCTAGTATCTCCCACTTACTTTTAGTGGATGATAGTAATCTGTTTACCAGAGCAACTAAACAGGAGAGTGATCAACTTAAAAGGATACTAAACCTCTATGAGATAGAGTCGGGTCAACAAGTTAGTCTGGTAAAGTCAGAGCTATCTTTTAGCCCAAACATTGATGCAAGTAGAAGGGAGGAATTAATAGGGATACTTGGCATGAAGAGGGTGGAGTTTCATGAGAAATATTTGGGGCTCCCAACTAAAGTGGGAAGAGGAAAAAGAGCAGTTTTTGGTTATCTAGTTGATCGAGTGAGGAACAAGGTGAAACACTGGAAAAACAAGCTCTTATCTATTGCGGGGAAGGAAGTGTTGAGTAAGGCAATGGCTCAATCACAGATGACTTAAGCTGAGCAGACCTAAGAAGACGGGCGGCTTAGGATTTCGAGATCTTAAGTGTTTCAATATAGCTCTCCTAGGCAAACAATTATGGAGACTAATAAAGGAACCTAAGTCACTAGCAGCAAGAGTGTTGAAAACGAAGTACTATCCCACCAAGGATGTGTTGGAAGCTGAAAAAGGATGGAACTCCAGTTTTGTTTGGAAGGGATTGATGGAAGCAAAGGATCTAGTCAAGAAGGGCTATCGATGGAGGGTGGGGAATGGGGAAAGTGTTGATATTTGGATGGATCGGTGGATTCCCAATAGCGAAGGATATAGATTAACATCCCCAGTATCGAGAATTGAGGATACAACGTCGGTGGCTGAGCTTATAGACATGGAGACAAGAACCTGGAAATCTGACCTACTGTGGGCCTATTTCAACATTGCAGACCCAAAACAGATAGAAAAAATTTTAATCCCTCGCCAACCTTGCAAGGATGAAAAGGTTTGGACAATGGAAACTATAGGGATTTACTCTATGAGATCAGCATACAGGTTGTGGAAGAACAGACACGAGGAGGAGTATGGGGAATTATACACACCAGTAAACTAGGAAAGGTTATGGAAGCTTAAGATACCACCTAAGGTGAGATTGTTTGCGTGGAGATGGATCAGGGATATATTGCCTACGAAAGCTAGAATTGTGGAAAGAACGCAAAGGGCTCATGTAGGGTGCCCATTCTGCGATCTCCCTGAAACTCAATACCACATTTTCAAGGACCGTGCGTAGGTAAGGAGGGTAACTAGGCCTACTCCTATGAATCTATTGTTCGAAAGAGGGGATACTCTTATCTGTGAAGAATGGTACTGTAGCCTGCAAGAGATGGAGAACGATGAACAGTTGGGGAAATTCCTCGTCGCATTGTGGTTTATCTGGGAACAACGCAATAGTCAGTTTTGGAATAAGAGGAAATTGGAAGAAGGGGAAATTATACCCAGAGCTTTAGGATGGTTGCAAGAATACCTGGACATGCAGGAGGTGGGATCTGAAGCCAATCGCCAAGGTGGAGGGAAATGGAGACCATCTCAGTCGACTGATTTTACAATCTCGGTGGATGCGGGATGCTTGACTAAACAGGGAACGGGGCTGGGAGTCGTAATTAGAAAGAAGGATGGGGGCTTCGTGGCGGCGGGGGTGAGGAGAACGCGGAGGCAATGGGAGGCGTTGGAAGCAGAGGTGATGGTGGTGAAGTTTGGTCTGGAAATGGCTCACCGACTTCAATTGCATTCTATTGCAATCCAGACAGATTGCCAGCAGGTGGAGCGCCTCATCACAGGCCAGGCGATCTCCCATGTTGAAGTGGGCCAAATAACACATGAAATCAAGGAGATGGGCCGGACTTTCCAACAGATAGAATAGATCCCTAGAGAACAGAATAGAAAGGCACATACTATGGCCCACATTGCTTGCAATTGGGAAGATGGTGAATGTTGGGTGGATAGACCACCAATTATTTTGTTTTTTCTTCTTAATGAAGAGTGGGCATGTTTAAACTTTGATGATTAATTAATAATAGCAGGTTTGATTAAAAAAAAAAAAATCAGAGCCGGCGCGATCGACTGTTCACAGATCTGACGATTTGAGACCCAACTTACTGGTTAGGCCCATAGAAAATTCGGGCTGAAGCCTATCTATCTCGAGAAACTCCCAATCGGGGTGGGCCGGCACTTTTCCGTTTGCCGGACCCGCCGGATGACAGTACCAATGCGGCGGCTCTTAACTCTTTTCTTTTCTCATCTCTTGTCTTCACTTCACTTCACTTCAGTAGTTGTGATTCTGGAAAGTGGAGAGGATAACGAAAATGGAAGAATGAAACCCGGGAGCAGCTTGCCGGAAACCCTACCGAGCGGTGATCAAGGAAGTAGCCGTTTTCAGGTGGCTGTCAACCGAAAGGTAAATCTCCCTCGCCGAATTTTGTTTTCTAGGTTACCATTGATTTCAGGTCACCCACGAGAACTCAAATGAACTGTTGGGTACTTCTATCGAAATTCGGGATTTTTGAGCTTCGGTGTTAAGTTTTATCGGCTTAGGCATTTGCCATTTGGTTGGTTCCACAAGAATCAGCTGCCGAATTGGGGTTTTATCCAGTTCCACTTTGGTTTATGTTCTCATATTATGGTTACGGTGAAAGACTGGGAATGGAGGATTCTGATTTCTCTGAACATTGTCTTGTTCCTGTGCTTTCAATCTGCAGATAGAAGGAAATGATTTTAAACGGATGCACGGTACCTTCGTGGTATGCTTATACGAATACCAGGGCTGGTCAACTCACCTATGGACATGGTAGATTGGTGTCTGCTCGTGTTCCACGGTTTCTTGCCAATGCTGCACCATTAAGCATTAGAAGTTCTTGGCAGGAGCCAAAACTTTGTTTCTCTGGAGCTTTATGTAAGTACGTTCGTCAAGGTTTCTGTTAGGTTTGTTACTTTGTCATCTGAGTTTGTTTCTGATAAAACACTGATCTTTAATAGTAGGTGGGTCGCGTGATCTCTCCGCTGTATCAAGCCCTCTCCTAAGCGGGGAACAAGGCGGGCTATTACACACAATTCCTTCTCTTCCAAGAAGACGAGGATCTTATCTCCCTGCTCGAGCAGCAAAAGATGTCCCCACCAGCTTTCGGTTCCCACCAATGACCATGAAGCCGAGATGGTGGTGGAGAACCCTAGCATGCCTCCCTTATTTGATGCCTCTCCACGAAACCTGGATGTATGCCGAGACAGCGTATCACCTGCACCCCTTCCTCGAAGACTTTGAGTTTCTGACATACCCATTTCTTGGAGCTATAGGGAGCTTACCGGGCTGGTTCCTGATGGCTTATTTCTTCGTCGCCTACCTTGGAGTTGTAAGGAGAAAGGAATGGCCTCATTTCTTCAGGTTCCATGTGGTTATGGGGATGTTGCTCGAGATTGCCCTCCAGGTTGTTGGCACAGTGAGTCGTTGGTTGCCACTCGGTATCTACTGGGGCAAAGTCGGGATGCATTTTTGGGCAGCAGTGGCATTCGCTTACCTCTTCACCGTCTTGGAGTGCGTAAGGTGTGCTTTAGCCGGTATGTATGCTGATGTCCCTTTTGTGTGTGATGCTGCATACATTCAGATTCCATACGACTAAGGTAGCATAGCAGGTGAAGAGAGAATCTAGGCACCTCTATCTGTACGTTGTTGTAATGCTCCCTTTTCCCATATGGAATCTCTAGACTCTAGTTGCAAACATTTTAAGTGAAGAATCTTTTGTATGCTTCCCTGTCTTGGATGAACAAAGAAGTTGAAAATCCACCATTGATTTGTTAACCAGTGAGATACTTTGTCAACCATGGGCATGGGTTTGATTTAACCATAGGGTTAGGTTATGGATAGCTGGTTCAAGTAAGTACATATAGTGGTATGCTTTTTGCTTCCTATTGGTGAAATGGCTCTGTTGTTTCCTTCCTAAAGAAAGAAACAATTGTCAACATCATCCAGAGTGAAACAGAAAAAAAGTTTGAGTCACAGTGGAGAACAGCTCCTCAGGTTTGTGATTTTCTGCGTCAGATTGGTTTTGGAACTCACTTCACTTGAGACAAATAGAAGTTACACTTAACCCCCTTTTTCCTTCCCCCCATCACTGATATCTAACATGTTTGAAACTCAGTCATTGATTTTGCTTTTCTGTCTCTCATTCCACCTTTCCTACCAAGTTTGTTGGAAAAGCAATATCATGTCCATCCTTTCTCTATGAATTTACATTTTGAACCATACTACCATTGTCGATGCTTCGATTCGAGTCGAGAAAGACCCATCACAAGGCCGACGAAACTCTCTTGGACCAGTATAATTGCGTTGAAAGAAACATTTGCCTACTTATCAAGTAGGTTAGTTGATACCTACCGTATTTCTTAAATTTTGAGCATGGGACCCTACCTCTAAACACAATTTCAGGTCTAATTACGCAGCTTTCATGTTAAGGGTTTGTCAGTATACCATTGAGAGCAAACTTATTAGTAAAGAAGAGAAGCCAATTAGGGTGTTTTTTTAACCCTAAAAGGATAGGGCAGAAGAGGGTCTCTCGAGTCTCGACAATGGAATGCCAACCTAACGCAATAGACATTTTCATGCAACTGAACTATATTTGCATTAATTAAGTTGCTTAATCGGGTTTCTGGATCCCACTTGAGAGTAATTAAGTTTATATGTCGCTGTGAATACACCTGATTGTTTTGTGGGTTGCTGTCTTTCTCTTTCAAAAGCAGATTGAGAGAGAGGGGGAAAAGGAAAAGGAAACTTTCAAAAACTATGTCACGTAGCTAAATCATTAACCCTTTTTAATCTGCTTTTGGTAAAATGTTGGGGGGTGATGTAACCATGAAAATGGAAGGCCATCGCACCATTCAACTCATCATCAAAACTGTAATCAAAACCCTTTTCAATTCTTCTGGACAATAATCACCCACTTCCCAGTAATTAATTTTTCTTGGAAATAATGGGAATAACAACTCCTTTGGGGGGGGAAGGGACGAAAGTTACTAGCTATTTGATGTTGGCCTGATGATATGATATGATATGGGTAATGGGTCCATTCATTCTTAGGGCTATGGTACAATTATTATTATTATTCCCTTTGAGATATGCAGCATTTACCATCTTGCATGTCACATCTTTTCGAGTTGTACGAAGATTTTTGGGGCCTGAATTATTGAAATCTCTATAAAAGGGGGGAAAATTCTTCATTGCTTTTTTCATTTTCTGAGATTTCTTTAATTGATCGCCTTGCTGTTATTTTTTCGTCAAGTTATCATTACATAGGATTTTACTATGCTTATTGAGCAATGACGTAGTGTTTGATCCAACAAAAGAGGATTCCATAGTTAATGAAATATCCATACTTTGCATTTTCCCGTTCTCCTTGAGCATTCATCGTCTTCTTCCTTCCTCTAGGTCAGCAAGAGTATGATTCCTCCCTATTTCTTTTTTTCTTCTCCTTCCCTCTCCTTCTTTGCTTCTCTCTACTCTGCGTGTCCCTCCCAACTCCCAACCCTCTTTGGTGATTGGACTCCATCATCTCTCTCATCGTTCGTGCATAATATCTCTCGTACATATTCTACTTAGGATTAAATGAATGAATATGTAATCAGTTGGAGTCAGGAAAAAAAATTCCCTTCTAGACCGCCAATTTCGATTATGGCAAGGTAAAATGAACGTCATTTTAAAATATAGGCTTATGGCTTCGCAGAGACTTGTGATTGTATCTTTACGGAGTGTAACCAGACGTGCAAGGTACATAGTTCTCAACTGTTGTGAGTGGATAGAAAATTGGAAGGGAAAGAAAGAAAGAACCATATGTCTAACAAAGCAAAATTGGAAGGAAGACGGGTTCGTTTCGTTCCTGCATTGTTACTCGGTTGGATAGTCAATCATATTCATCAATACAACACTCAAATGGATTTCAACAATCTGACCACTTGGTTTCCTTATGGATCCCAAACACACTTCCAATGTATATATGAAACACTCTCCTAACTAATACCAAGTCACCGGTTAATTGCCAAAAAGAAAATTGAAAAGTTAGAAACAACAATCCTTTGCTTGGTTGACTTGGGAAATTATTATGACGCAAAGTGGCTCCTGCCTTTTGATAAGCAGGGTGACCTCTCATTGAAAGGGAGGGTGCGCCCTACGTCAAAACTCAAAACTAGCGCAAGGGCGGTGCCAGCCCACAAAAAGAAGGGACCATATAGTAAAATTGTAGGGACCCAACCCCAATCATTCCATTTTTTTTATAAGGTTATTTTATTAGTTAGTATTTTAATCGGAGAATCCCCTCTGTTTTGTAAACTTTAATCTCATTTACCTGCAATAATTAAGAATACGGGGATTATTGAATGAACGTGCAGTTGCAGTATGGGAGCGACAGTTTTGGGACAGCCTGCATTTTAAAATTAGGTCTTCAGATTGATTAGTTGTCAGAAAACAAATAAGTTAGATTAACTTTTATGGCATGACGTTTTTTTTATTTTTTTTAATATAGATATGGCATGACTCATGACCTCTGGTGCCTAGTTGGGGTTACCATGCTGTTCTTTTATTTTCTTAATATAATCTCACTTATACTTCCATTTAGCTCAAAAATCTATTTACTAGTGCTGATGAATCTGTAGTATATGTAATAGAATGATATTTTTCGATGGAAGTAAGATATTATGATCCAAATCTAACGGAAGTAAAAATATTTCAACGCGAAAAGATCAGCTATGAAATGGAAACTTAGCCGATATAATTATGTACCCAGAAGATATAGAGTTAAATAAAACATTTACGTGACAAGTAAAATATACTTCTCAAAAATCTTAACCATTTCACAAACAAATTCAAAAATTCCTCGAACGTTCGATTAGATAACTTTTTCCAAATCAAATCAATCACTTGATGTGAATCGGACACCTTACTAGTAGCATATAAGTAATGGTATGCGAATTATAATAAGCATATCTAGCTCAAGTAGTAATGAGGGTGTACGGATTCAATATTATTGGTGCCCAGCATGTGTATTAACAAATTAAAAAAATAATATTCCCAACAACAACAACAACAAAAAAAAAAACTTAATTAAAATTACAGGTGCGTAGTGATGGACTTTCGATGCACAATTAATTGGAGCTAATGACAATCGACTAGTGGTACCAAAAAAAAAATATCCTTATTAAACAAAATGAAATTATTAAGAAAAAGATACGGTTTACATGCATTGAACGAAAAGTAAGCGAATATCAAAACGACAGGGCATCAAATGGACGACAGGAGATTGGAAGAGAAGAGAACCCCTGGCTCTGGCTGACCTTGTTTATAATATTTTTAAACCTCAAGTGACGAATGGCATCTTTGGATTTTAAATCCCTCAGAATTTGATGCTCATTGTTGTTGTTGTTTTTAGTATTTACCCAAATCAATGGAGGCAGTATCTTGAACTAATAGCATGATCAGGTATATGGTTACACAAATTATGTAGTACAATAGTTAAACCCGAATCATATATTCGAGAGACATTAAAATTATTATGTAATTTAAAGAACAACGAAAGATTCGTATATACTAGTCAAATAGTCAACACTCAACAATGAATATGAGAAACATACACAACTCGCTAGCATGCTAGGCATGATCATAGTCCCGATTTGTAAAATCATTCCCCAACACAATCCAAAGACAATAACTTATGGTTGACTACAACCTACATATCTTTTGTTCCTCGCATATATTCGTTACTAAAAATTTACGCGTCTTTGCTGCGGGCTTAGCTGATTAGGAAAAATGTGGGTAGGAGGATCATGATTGTTTAATGGTACTAAGTAAAAGTGTCAATTTTTTAATCAAATTCATCAATTCAATTCTTCTAATTAAATATACAACTAATCCAATTCATTTAAACCCAAATCCCATTGGAGCGGTGGATCACTTATTGGATTTATGGATTGGATTGTTGCCAACCTATAGTTTGATACCTGTAGTTTTATACTTTACAATATGATATCTAAAATTATTTTTAAATAAAATATCATTGGAAAATTAGGTTTTGGCATCTATAACTTTTTATTATAGCATTTTAGTACTTCAACTTTTCAAAATTTACATATTGGTTCAATGTTTAGTTTACATGTCACTTGGGTCAATGATCCAATCCACCAATCCATGAATTCACCATCCATCTAATCCATGGATACACCAATCCAATCAACCAATCCATGAATCTAATTCATATTGCCATCTCTAGTACCAAGTGAAAAAGGATAATAATATGAATATATGATATTCCTTCTACAGTGTTTCCTCGTCCTTTTTTCGCTCACTCTTATTTTCTCATCTGGTTTTGCCCACACAACTATTGAGAAGCATGCTAGAATAATGCATGAAACTGTGACTTATAATTGTTTTTTGTCAAAAGAAGGACAGGAGCACCGTGGAAGACTCTAGCAATGGCATCACAAGGCTTATGTGTTATGTCTCTCTAGTTTGGAGTTTGCACATGTATGGATACCATGTGTTCAATGAATGTGGGTTGTCGAAATTCGAACACAAGGCCCCTCGATCATCAAAGAAATTTACATAATGTCAAGGACCAGTTGATCCTAATAATTCGAATTATTTGAAAAGTTCCAATTATTCATCTTACATCGCAATGCATTATTGTTTTTTAATAACATTAATTGATTGTTCCCATTACTTAGTAGGTTTATATATATTAATCTTCCAAATTCGATCTTTGAGTCCTTGGTGTCCCTATTGGTTCATCCATTTTGTTTTTTTGTTAGGTTTGTTTGGTTGGCAATTTGGAAGGATCAAATTGTATATTCGCATAATTTTTATGTGGTGATTTAGAGGTTGGGATTTATCTCTAAAGTCTAAACCAACGACTACACAACAACGATCAAGAGAAAGGAGTATGAACGCAACAAAGTAACTAACACTTCTAAGTATGCCTTTGTTTATTGCAGATCTTAGCACTAAGTATGTCTTTAATCTCAATTAAGAATAACCTAGAAGCTTGGTTAATTTTGTCATTTTCATCCATAAATATGTAATGATGAGGTTTAGGGTGTGCAGTTGTTTGGTTTGTATCGTGTCATATCGGACTAAACCAACAATTAGACCAAACCATATCAAACCAAGTATTATGTGGTCCTTTCCTTTATGAATGAATTTCATAAATACTGAAAAAAGTAACGATCATTCATAAATACTGAAAAAAGTAACGAATTGAAGTTGGATCAAACCCGATCAAATACAATGTTGATAATTGATTCTCAGATATCTTCACTATTGAACAGCGATTCTAAAAAAATTGTACTGGTCGAACCATTGCATACTCTAAACGCAGAATTAAAATAGAAAGGTATTATTACTAAACACACCACAAATTATATTTAATATTAATTAACCACCACTAGCCAGGCAGAGTGATCCTTCTCTTACATTTTACATTCTCGTCCCACAACTCTTATGGCAATTACATAACAATCCTCAAACTTCTACCTTTTATCCAATTCAACCCGCTTCCCTGGGGCCCACTCATTGTACTTTGCGTCAGCGTACCAGAACAACCCACCACCACCGTCCGATTAAACAACAAAAGGACATTCCAACTTTCAATCGCCACCGCCCGTTCTATACGTTACCATTCAATTTCCATTTCTCTTGTCTTCTTCCCCAATTCGTTTCTTTCCTCCCCTGTTTTAATCAGTACTGGAACAAGTCCGGCGACGCCATGATCGGCTGGTTAAGGTAAATCGAGTTCAAAGGGTTGATCAGAAAACCCTCAGGCTGCACGACATGATCCACTATCTGATCCCCCTCCCAGAACCCATTCCCTCCGGGGCCGCAGCCGGCGGCGGCGGCGTTGTTTCCGATGAAATCGAGGATCTCGGTGAGTGAATCCAGGCGGTTGCTGAGCTCGACGGTCTGGGCGCGGAGGACGCAGTTCTCCGCCTGGACGTTGAGAAAGTGCTGGGTGGTGACGTTGATTGCGGTCAAGATCTGGCTATTGTCCTTCCTCAGCTGGGTCACCTGCCCCACCAGCTCGTCGAGATGCTTCTGCTTCCTCATCCGAGACCGCCGCGCCGATTCTCGATTCGACAGCATTCTCTTCCTCTTCCTCTCGTCCATCACCAGCTGCTGCAAGTCCTCATCGGAGCCGGAGTTCTGAAGCAGGGACGATGAGCCGCCGGAGGAGGAATTCCCGCTGGAAGACGCCATTAACAGGGGACAACAACCCCCCAAATACAATCGGCTGCAAATTTATCTACAATTTGGAAGAAGAAAGAAACAAATACTAATTCTAATCTCTCCTCCGGGAGAGATTTTTCTTCTTAATTAGGACTGACCCAGATGGTAATAGTCTCTGGATATAGTAGTAATAATGATTATTATGAATATTGCTGCTAGCTTAATTATTAGTAGTACCCTCTCTACTATAGGGTGGGAACAGGGGATCGGGGAGATGGTTTATGAGAAAACATAGAACCAGTAAAGGAAGACAACTGAGAAAGACTGAACGAGATGGGTCCTGCGCCTGAGCGAGGAATTGATCATAAACCCGGAACGGAGGATTTCACTGAGAACGGGAGACATGAGTCTCGATCATCAATTTCAACCTCTGCAGCATCAATTTTCAGGGGGGAACAGGGGAATTGGGGGAAAAAACAGAGCAATGGAGGCTTGAGGGGGAAAAGGGCAGAGCTTTCGCTCTTAAATGGAGGGGGGAAAGGAGGGGCAGAGAGGAGGCGAAGTAAAGCCAAGGAGGGGGAGAAGAGGGGAGAAGGGAAGGGAAGAAGTAAGTGTTGGAAGGGGAATTTATAGAAACCAGAGGAGGAGGGGGTATAAGGAAAAATGAAGAAATGGAGGAGTGATTTGGGAGAAGTGGAAAGTTTGGGGAGTGGTAAAGGTGAGAAACAAGCATAGGAATCTACAAATTTTTTGAAGAAGAGAGTTGGGTGGGGTTGTAGGGATGGCAACAAAACCCGAACCCACGGGTACTCACCCGATCCAACCCGGTCAACGCGGGTAAAATCTGTGTTGACGGGTTTTGGGCCGGATTCGCATTTAAACCCGCTACACTATTCACCGGGTCGGGTTGGGTTTGGGTTTAGGTAAACCCGCCCCATGGGTACCCGCCCACATACATATAATTACTTTTCTGGTATATTTAATACTCTAAATAATATGTCTTCCTTAAACAATTAATATTCTTTATGTTTGTGGAGACATATATAATTTGTTGTTTCTAATTGTTTAGAATGAAGTTGATATTATGAAGTGGAGAGTGAAGAAACTTAGTTGACGAGTAGGAAGCTTTCAATTAATCTTATTGTTTATAGATGTTTATCTTTAATTTTGAACAATTTGTATTGATCCTTTGCGGTTTGCTTGTATGCTCTAGATTGGTGTTTTTTGTATGAATAATTTGTATGAGAAAATTAATGTTAACTTTTATTTTGAAAGAAACTTGTTATTGTAAATTTCTTACCACAAAAACCCACGGATACCCATGAACCCGCGGATACCCAGCAGGTTGGGTTGGGTTTGAGTTTTTCAAACCCAACGGGATTTACCCCGGTTTTTTTTGGCTGATAAACCCATGGGTTTGGGTTTGACAAAACCCGCCCCAACCCGACCCATTGCCATCCCTAGGTTGAAGGCAGTCATTCATTAGAGAAGAAAAGGCAAGTGGGGATGGCTAGGGAGGAGAAATATTAATTATTTTTTCACACAAATGTCCAACCAAAACAGCTGGTTACCAAGAAAGAAAGACAAAACTCTCTTCATCTCACACCCATTACTAAAAATCTTAACCCATTACACTCTTTCTGTTAAACGAGTTTTGCTAATCAAGTAATTAATTAGTAACTTAACAAATGTATAGAGGTCATTTGAATAGGGATAATACTTAATAGCATTTTATATTCATGTAATATTGCAAGTTAACAAATAATAGAGGAGTATGTTTGTTAATTTACAAGTGGGTATAAAATGCTATTAATCTTTTTAGATAATTAAAAGCATTTTCGATTTCTAATCTAATAGGTTCTAAAAAATAGAGCAAAAGTGGTTGAACCGGAACTAGATAAAATCTGATAGAATCAATTACAATCTCGAATTTTTATCATTGTGTTTTCCTTTAAGAAAGATTTTGAATTGAAGAATACAATGATTTTATATAGTAAGACGTAAAAGAGAGCAGAGAAACGAAAGAACCTATTTATTCCTTTTTTTGGCTTAATCTGTCTTGGTTTCATTTACGGCAGAAGAATCTGGCATTGTTTTGTTTTTTTACCTCTCTATATTTCACCTCATTTTCACCGCCTGCGCTAGGAAAAACACAGCAAGCAGCACAAGTCCCCAAACTCTTGTTAAAGATTTACTGGTCGACGCTCGACGGTGGCATTTTCAGTTTCAATTAAGGGCGTTCGGGACATTTACATGGACGAAAAGTGAACTCAGCTCCAGTCCGCGTTAGTCCGCGTTGATTCCGTGCACAATGGGGGAATAAAACAAAACTCATTGTTCCAGAACGGAAAATTTTTACCTCCAACTACCCACGTGGATTGGTACTACTGGACACATTTCTTTTAATGCTTTTATATATTTAACCAAAATAGAAAAATGGAACAGATGGGAAAGGGGAACGAAATTCTTTCTTTTGAATGGAATTGAGTTCCATTTCTTAAGAAATAAAATAAGTTTCATACTTATTTCTGCAAATTGGCATGCACCTGCTTAGTTTATTTTATGATTCAGGAATGCATAATTCCATGTAGTCTAGAAAATCGTGTCAAATTTTGCGGGTAATAGAATCAGTTAAGTTATTAATCATTTGAAGTTAAACTCAAGGAAAAAGTTCTATAAAATTGTTATAAATACCAAAAAAAATTATATTCGCTAATACGCCTACACAACACTAAACAGGACCCCAATGCATGTATGGCACAAGCAAAATTTGAGTAAATTTAAATCTCAATTCTCTAAACTCTAAATTATGAACAAATTGATTAATGACAATCATCAACAGTCCTGATTATTCAAAAAATGATAATCGGTGATTTTGATTCATCGATATATATTCAAATATATAATAATTATAGATGCATCGTATATTATATGCCAGACATATACTACACTTTACAACGTATATTATCTTTAAACAAATATGTATTTAAGTCCACCGAAATCCCAAACATATATATTAGTTCACTTAAGAGAAAAGAAAGATATTAACTTTCCGTCAATTCTATTTTACTGTTTTGGTTCAAAAGTAATTAAGTACATTACAAATTAAGGAAATAAAAAGTGGATAACTCACCAATAATAATCCGCCATATGGACGGTTGGAGGTAAAAAATTTCCTTCCAGAACCCTCTTAGTTTTTTTTCCTGAGAAAGTTGGATTGGAAAATTTACCAGGTTGGTGTAATTCGCTATACAAATTTTACATCGACAAAGTACTAAAGCGATTCATAACTCCTAAGTAACAAATCAATCTTAACTTACAACACACTCTAAAGTTAAACGTGTTTAATGTAAAGATATGTAAAAATGTGAGGCCTCATTAGAATGCAAGGATGGGTTGCCTCCTAAGAAGTAGCAAACCAATTTTAACTTAAAACACGTAATGAAGTTCAACGTGCTAAGTGTGGAGTAGTGCAATAATGAGTGGCCTCCTGAGAATTCACTATGATATGTATCCAAAATAAAAGCCGTGCTGGATAAACCTAAAGCAGACAGTATCTTAGTGAGAAAAATGCAGGGGGTGTTACAAGTGGTATCGTGATCTTTTTGCGTCCCTCTTGAATGACGGTGGGGCAAACCTCAATGAAAACGCGAGTCCCAAAGTAAGGGTGTGTAACACCTGAGAGAAATTCCATATAGACAAAACATATTAAAGAGATTCCTCTGGTAGTCCTTAAAAAGTTATGCGAAATAAAAATAAAATTATGACATTTGGGTTGCGCAGAACAAAGTTATGCCAGTACAAAGTTTGGCAAAATAAAAATGTGCTCACTTGGGGATAACAAACGATATTTTTTCGGAACAAAGGCGGGACCAAACCTCCTTCGACAATTTGCAACTTGTAAGATCTCGAAAAGTTATGTGGAACTAATTTTTTCTCTAGGATCGGATAACCGAGCGCAAAGTTACGTTCGTTCGAAGCTCTGAAGTTGTAAAAGACCATCACTGCATTTGACTCCGGCGGTGAATGGCCATGAAGCATTCACCGCGTCCGACTCCAACAGTTTTGCCCAAACATGTGTAGATTGTGAATATTTCATAAAATGTGTAACACCTTAGGCAAATCCCACATCGGCAAAGCACGGGAGAGATCAATGGTTCATAAGTAAGAAATGACATCAACTGACAAGACGCGTTTTGAGGTGAAATGGAGGATTTCTTATGAGAACTCCGAAGTTAAACATGCTCACCGAGGAGTACAACAAGGATGGGTGACCTTATGGCAAGTCACCTTGAATTGCACGCCAAGTCGAAAATCGCGAGGATCGAGGTCCAAAGCTGACAATATCTTCATCGGGAAAAGGTTCGGGATGTTATAAGTGGTATCAGAGCCTCTCCGCGTCCCTCTTGAACGGTGGTGAGGCAAAGTGTAGAGTACAACAAAGATGGGTGACCTTATGGGAAGTCACCTTGAATTGCACCCCAAATCGAAACCGTGAGGATCGACGACCAAAGCTGACAATATCTTCGTTAGGAAAAGGTTTGGGATGTTACAAGTTTATCAGAGCCTCTTCGCGTCCCTCTTGAACGATGGTGGGGCAAAGTTGAGGATGTTGATCCCAAGGGGGGGGGGGGGGAGGGAGGTGTATGTAACACCTTAGGCAAATCTCACATCGACAAAGCACAGGAGAGAACCATGGTTCATAAGTGAGAAACGACATTAACTGACAAGACGCATTTTGGGGTGAAATGGAGGAGTTCTTGTGAGAACTCCGAAGTTAAACGTGTTCAGTGTGGAGTACAAAAAGGATGGGTGACCTTATGGGAAGTCACATTGAATTTCACCCCAAGTCAAAAACCGTGAGGGTCGAGGCGCAAAGCGGACAATATCTTTGTCGGGAAAAGGTTCAAGATGATACAAAATGTGTGTATTTTAGGATTTTTTTTAAACATGTGTACTTTGGGAAAAAACCCAATTATGGATCATATACCATTTACTAACACACCCGCTCCAACGAAAGCCAACTCTGAAGTATTTGAAGTTTGCTCAGGTTCAGACCATGTGCTTAACAGTATAGATGAGGGTCATCGGGATTCGAACAAAAGACCTTTCGGTCACAGAAGGATCTATTACCATGTCAAGAACCAACTATTCCCAATAACTTGAGTTGTTGCGAGAGGTTCAATTATGGATCATATAGCATTTGCTAACAACTATGCATCACCTTTAGAGTTTAGACACAAGAAAGACCCTTGCTTTGTTATCTTGTGAAAAGCAAAAATGGTGTGGTCACTTAAAACATTAAATCCTTCTTAAATTGGGGGTCAATCACACAGCTCTGGGGGTGGGCAACGGTTCGGACCGGACGAAACTTATGAGATTGTGGTCCATTAGTGAAAAACATCTTAGATAATGGTGATATAAGTTTACTTTTTGTAATTAGGTATTACTAAAGGGACTTGAACGTGGTACCTTCAGATTCAAAACTAGTGATATCACCATTTGTTTTAGGTGGAATTTCGCGTGATCAATGCACCCCGACTTCATGAAAATAGAAAACGATGTTACTCGGTTCACACCTCTTCAAACACTGTTTAAATGAGGG